GCTTTTTAGGTAATATTTGAAAGGTATTTTCAAAATTACCTTTCATGAGAGAGAAAAAGTAACATGTCATCACTTTTCAGATTTGTTATATAGGGACATATTTGAAATTTTATACACTTTTATTTCTTTTACTTTTTTTGCATTGGTATGGATGAGGTTGGTAAAAATGACTTATAAAGAAGACAGGAGGAGTATTGATATTGATTGTCAGCAACCTTGTTATTTTATAAACACAGATACGGAATGAGAAAGCTAGGAGATATTTAAGCAGCATGCGAAAGAAGAAGCCAGTTCCTTTCTCCCAAAAGTTTCCTAATGCAGATCCGCTTGCACTTTGTTTGTTGGAAAGAATGCTGGCATTTGATCCTAAGGATCGGCCTAATGCTGAAGAGGTTGAATTTCATGCATCTCCAGTTCACATTCTCTGTTCTGTCTGGTTCTAACAGGGCATTTTTTTTTTTGGAGAACTGCTAGGCTTTGGCAGATCCATATTTTAAAGGTTTGGCCAAGGTTGAAAGAGAGCCTTCAGCACAGCCAGTTAGCAAGATGGAATTTGAATTTGAGAGGCGCAGGATAACAAAGGAGGACATACGAGAGCTCGTATATCGAGAAATTCTAGAGTACCATCCAAAGATGTTAAAGGAGTACCTAGAGGGAGCAGAGCCAACAAGTTTTATGTACCCAAGGTACTTTTCTTTTGGTTGTCATACATGTTGTATTCTTTAAATGTGTTTTATAACATAGGGATTTCTTTCATACCCAAACTACCCTTATATCCCTAATTCCCCTACTTACCTCTATTATTCCTAATTCCCATGTATCCGAAAGCATATCATTGGTAACCAGAAGCCATGTGGGGTACTTGATTAGCAGTTTTAATTCTCCATCAATGCTCACCTTGAAGTTGACATGTTGCATTGGACTCTATCTAAAATTATCCATTTCTTTTGAATGCTTTGGGTTTGACAATTTTCTTTGGACTGTTTGCTGAAATTTAAGTTCAATTGTAAAAATTTTTGTTTTGAAATACTTTGATCAACATTTAATTCTTAAGCTTCTGTGGATACATGCTGCTGTATTTTGTCTGGTTTGTCACACTATTTGATGTAGTTTGTCAGCCTTTCTTTCCTGGCATCACATTTCTTCTAGTCACTAACGTCTCCTCTAAATAGTGCTGTGGACCACTTCAAGAAGCAATTTGCTTATCTTGAGGAGCATTATGGGAAGGGTGGGACTGTTATGCCACCTGAGAGGCAGCATGCATCATTGCCCAGGTATCCTTTTAGTTACTGTTGTAGTTTTTGTGTAATGCAGCTTTCTTCTTTGGTCACTGCCTTTTTATCTTATTAACATGCCTATGTATCTGCTTTGGAATTGCCGACTCTGCTTATTTGAGATTGCATGTGCAGGCAATGTGTATTATATTCAGATAACTCAAGACAAAGTCCAGCTGAGGTTGCAGAGGATCTCTCTAAATGTTGCATCAAAGAAGTTGAGAAGCCACCGGTAGAGAGGACTGGTGGTATCCCTTTGACTCGGCTTCCTCCACAAGTTCCACAAAATATGCAAGGTGTGACGACTGGCTTGTAGATTTTTCTCCTCTTCTCTATTCCTCCTTACTACTATTTATAAGGCATTATCCTGCAAGAGTTCTGTATTTTTTCTTGTAGCTTGCTTAATTTTTCTTTCATCGTTCTTTGAACCATCACCATATGTGTTGTGCATAGGTATGCATGTTTGATACATCTTCCTTTTTGGTGTTGGATGTGAACATAGGGTGTGCTTGGTGTTGCTAAAGTAAAAATGTGGAAAATGGAGAAATTGAAAGGAGGGATGTCTAGATATCTTTCAATTTTCACTTCTCAATTATCCATATTCTATTTTGCACTCCTTCAGCATGAAGAACAACCTTTGTGTGTGAATAGCTTAAGGCAGCATAATTTGTTTGAAAATAATTATAGATTTCTTTCTCTCTGATTCTTTTGATGAGACTTCTGTTTCTAACACGAAGAAGTTATAGTGATATTGCTTGTGGAAGGTGGTAAATTACTTAACAGAAGTGCAAGGCATCAAATTTTATCCTTTTTGACGCTGTTATTCTTCCCCAACCCTCTCCTCAATACTCTCCCCAGTCTTTGTTAAGAGGCACCTCTATCCACCTTGCCGGAACTAAAAATGTAGTTGAGTCATTAATTTTATTTGAAAATAGAATGAACTTCCAATTTTACCCATATTTAAATGAAATATTTTCAAATTTGCATTATATTCTCTCTCAAAGTTAATGAGTTTAGATAGGGGTAATATTGGAAAAACATAATTAATACCCATCAAGTGCCTTATGTTAAGGGCCAAAGAATTCTTCTAGAAAGTGTCTGACATAAAAAGTTTGTTTACATACTTGAATATGAGATGTTACTTACTGCTCACCTGCTTTAGGTGCAAGGCCTGGAAAAGTTGTTGGTTCAGTATTGCGTTACAACAACTGTGGGGTAGCAGCCACAGCCGAGGCATTTGAACAGCGGCAGATGGTTAGAAATCCACCTGTTACTGCCCAATATGCTGCTTCAAGCTGTTCATATCCCAGAAGAAACCCAAGCTGTAAAAATGAGAGGGCAGAAGATGATGGAATAGAAGGCTCTAATGGGTTACAACCAAAGCCTCAATATATGCCCAGAAAAGTTGCTGCTGCTCAAGGTGGAGCTTCTAGTCATTGGTATTGAACTATTGTTTTATATACCAAAACTTTGGCTAACAACTGCCACTGAGCTCTGCAACTCTAGTATCTGGGTTCTGGGTTTGTCCTAATCCCAGAATGATAGTCTGAACTTTAGTTGGTGGCACTGCCTTCATCTGGTTGGACTCAGAAGGGAAAAACCTGAGAGAACGAAGTTGAAGAAGCCTTTGGTTGAAGTTTAGTTACATCTTTGTAATTTTCATGAGAAGGGTTTGAATAGTCTGGTCTCTGATGGATGATTTTCTTGCACTCTGATTCATTTAATAGCATGGAACAGGAAAGACTAGTACCAACAAAATAGTGATGTTCTTTTCATTCCACAATAGCAGCTGCTTACTTTTATCCTAATTTTATTTTGGGCCATCACACTGATAATTGTATTTTTCTTGCTTGTGTTGTATTCTAAATAATCAACATCCTGTCCTCTTGCAACTGTATTGTGAATCCTGAACTATAATTGGTGGCAGAAGTAGGACCAAAACTTGACCTTTATCAGACTAATTCTATGTTGCTTCACTTGAATGCTTGCTTATCCTGTGAGAGTTTTTCTGATATGCTACTCGTTTTTACTGCAGAGCCATGCAAGGGCGTACAATAGAGAGATGGTTTTTAACTTATTCTTAACTAATGAACTTTTTAATTTCAGTTGTAATGGTGTTAGTCATGTATTAGCAATTAGCATATTTAATATTGTTTGTCATCTCATCATCTCTTTGGGTATTTTTAAAAATATAAGGATTAACATTACAAGAGTGATAAACTAGAAGATTTTGGAATAACCAAAAAAAAAAAAAATCTAAAAGGACCAATAGTTGTTTTTTTCTCTGTTAAATAATATTAAAAAGTGTTATTAAATGGTACTTAGAGTTCTAGAGGCATTAATCTTACAACTGGTCGTTGGATATCTTGCAAAAAAAAAAAAAAGCACTTAATTTCATTAAAAAAGGAGCTTTTGTATATATAGGTTATATTATAAGACTAAGTAAAAGAAATAGTCTATCTTTTTTTTAAATTTTAAAAATGACTTTTTTAATATTTAGTTTATAATTAATTTACAAAATTGTCCTTTTAATATATGTTTTTTGCAAATATCAAAAAATTCAAAACGCAAGAAATTTTTGAAATTGAACGTAATGAATGTGAGATAGTTTAAAGTGGCTTTTTTTTAAAGATGAATATGAGAGAGAAGATAAAATAGGATGTGAAAGAGATGAGATAGCAAAGTAGTGTAAGCAAGCCACAATCACGACCGTGAGAAACAAGCACGAGGTGAGATACATCGATGGTATTCGATGGAATGGAGCATGTCGATGGGAAAATGGAGCTACAGATTCATGATTTTTTTATTTTATTAATTTAAATATTTGACTTTCTGTGATAAACTAAGAGTCTAAAATTTTTTGTAGACTATGTCTAATCCATTTTAGGCAAATCATTATATGTTTTTCATGTTACTGATTTACAATATTACATCATTGATATACTGTTGTATATCACTGATATATTATCGTAAATCAGCATAACTAAACAATCAGACATAAACTTATTTATCATTTATATATATATATATATATGTATATCAATGATGTAACATCGCCGATCAGCAACACAAAAAATACATAATCATTTACTCAAAATAAATCAAACACAGTTCACAAAAAATTTAATATTATCGAGAGATGTAAAGATATTGAAAATCTGATGAAAGATAATAGATTTTAGCCTAGCCTTTTGCTTCCAAAAATGAAAATTCCTTTTCAATGTCTAATGTTCTTTTCATAGTGTTCCTAAAAAAATTAGAGAGGAAAAGAGAAGAAAATTCCTTTTTCAATGCCTAATGTCCTTTTCATAGTGTTCCTAAAAAAAATAAAGAAAGAAAGAGAAGAAAAGCTCTACAATAAAGAAAGGCAACGATAATTTTTTATTCAGAGGGAAAAAGGAATGATTCAAAGAAAAAAAAGAAAAAATTCAATCAGTTAAGGATTAGTTAAAATAAATATATTATGTTTTAATAATAAATTAATTTTATAATAAAAAAATAAAATATATCTAATTAATTATATGAATGAATCATATTTTAAAATATTTAAAAATATCATTCATAATTTATGGAAGTTATGTTTTTTGAAATCATTAAGCCAATTTTCTCTTAAAAAAATTGCACTTAAATATAAATTTGTATGAATTATTTTCCTCGAAAATTAAAAAGCACAATAATATTAAAAGGTGATAAGCGCTACTACCAATTTGAGTTTCAAGACTTGTGTCACCGTTATAGCCAAAAAGTTTTCGATTCTCTGCTCGCTTCTCCAGCTTACACCGATTGTGTCCATCTCGACTCCATGTTTCGTAGGCTCTTTTGCACATTTGTGGCCCCATCCAATCTTCACCATCGTCGCCTTCTTCCGATCTCTCACACAAACTTTCAGAAAGCCCTCCCTCTCGCCAATCCCATCCCTAATTTGCTCACCGAATCTTACGTCGTTGCAAGATTTCAAAATATCAGAGCGTTCCCGCGATTTTCTTCCTCCTATTCACGAATGGGTGATTCCCGGCGGCCGTTGTCGGTTCCCATTCCGGCCGTCGACAAAGCCGACAAGTCTGAGCTCCTTCGTGCTCTCGAATCGTCTCTGGGTTCGTCGTTTAGCTCAGAGGCTGTGATCCCAAATCCGATGCCATTGATAATAGTAATTAGCGGACCGAGTGGTGTTGGAAAGGACGCTGTAATCAAGAAACTAAGGGAAGCTCGGGAGGGTCTTCATTTTGTGGTCACTGCAACGAGTCGAGCGAAACGACCAGGTGAAGTTGATGGAAAGGATTATTTCTTTGTGAGTAAAGAGGAGTTTCAATCCATGGTTGAGAGGGACGAGCTTCTGGAGTACGCGCTTGTGTATGGAGATTATAAAGGTATCCCAAAACAGCAAATTCGGGAATATATGGGCAAAGGGTATGATATTGTGTTGAGGGTGGATATTCAAGGGGCTCAAACATTGAGAAAAATTCTTGGTAACTCGGCAGTTTTCATTTTTCTTGTGGCTGAAAGTGAAATGGCAATGGTGGAGAGGTTGGTTGATAGAAAGACAGAAACTGTAGAGTCACTGCTTGTGAGGATTGCTACGGCTAGAGAGGAAGTGAAGCATCTAAAGAATTTTGATTATGTAGTTGTGAATGCTAAAGGGAGGCTTGAAAATGCAGTAACATTAGTGAGTTCCATAATTGATGCTGAGAAAGCTAAGGTCTCGCAAAGGAGTGCTGTAGTATAGTATAGGTTACTAACTGTTATGATTCTGGTTATTAAGGTACGCCTTAAGTTCTTAATTACTTTTTCAGATACTTAACCAGTTGTTTTCATCCTATCAGTAAGTAAGAGCTGACTATTCGATTTAATCCCAGTCACTTTGAATCTCTTCATCTATTGTACCCTTTTGATGAGTTACTTCAGTTTCAGATTTTGTGGGTATGAGCTATTTGGAGGATACAAGGCTTTGCACAAAGATTGTCTAATACTTTTGGTAAACACAGCGAAAATCAATTGACAAATCTGGTACTAATGAGATGTGTCTTGTCGGAGTGTTAAATGGGCTTTGATTTATGTAAAAGGATTTGAAGTTTTATCCTAAATTTAGAACTTAAATCAACAATGGCCCATGTCTTCTGACCGTGAAAAAAAGCTACGATAAGGCACTTGAAAATATTGGATCCTTTGCAATTATGTAGTCATGTATTTCGAGAGAGAGAGAGGCAGCAAAATATGTTTCTGTGTATCTGTTTCTTTTCTTCTCTTTATAATTATCATCTTTTATCTTTTTATCTCCTTTGCGATTTGTTCCATATTCTCTGGCTAATTCGTGTGTCCTAGTGCATTTTTTTTAAGGGGGAAAAAAAAAAGGAGCATTCTTCAACTTGCTGTGACTGTTCGTTTGATGTGAACAATTGAACAGAGAATGCCATAAAACCTGAATTTGTGATCTGAGCTCACTGTCAATGAAAAGAACATGGTTCCTTTTGGTGCTTTCCAACCATTCGTTTCATGTTTCTGTAGACAGATATTATGTTGATTGTTCTCACACTCCTGCTGCAACACCTATTGTAGTCCAATTTTTAGTTAATGTTAGTTTCTTCCATCCATTGATTTTTTTCTGCTGATCTAAGTAAATATTTCTAATTCTATTTATAAGTCACTTTTGACATGTTTTACCAAGATCAAGGGAGGAGTCTAGAATAAGTTTCTAATGTTGCTCGTACTAAATATAAATACTCTAATAATTTAACTTCCTCTCACCAAAATTTAACGAGGGGATGAAGGAAAACTTTTGATAAAAATTTAATGACATGATTATAAATAAGATAAAAAAAATCCTTTTCTCTGTCCTTTATAAATATAACCAGAGAAATTATATAAAATGTGTACAGATATAAGTTTCTTTACTTATGCTGTGGCTTGAGGATATTATTTTCAGGATCACACACACACACACCCCACTAAATCTTGAGGCGGTGTGAACTGTGATGAAAATGACAGCAGCTTAAAGACTTAAACCTACCTACAAGTAGTTTTCTTTACTTTTTCTCTTTCTTTTGGTTTTTTTTTTTTCTTTGTAGGGGTGGGGAGGATTAAAAAATAGTTTTATTCTTAAAGGGGAAGATCAAATAGTTGTGAGGATAATCAAGCAAATGAAGAAGGGACTGTAAGTTCATTCAGTTTGTTGCTATGGTGAGTAAGCATATAACCAGTAGTCACTCTTCATTGTTGGGCTGTCCACTTTTGGTGTTGTAGTTGTTTGTCTTGTTTCTACGATACGCTATGCCTAATTCCCTTTACACGCCCATTGTAATGGCTACATGGATCTTGTTCCACTTCACTCAGAAAAATTCAGGATTTCAACTGAAGATGAATTACAATGATGATTCATTTATGTTTTATCATAAAATTTGTTTTTCTGCTACTAGAAAAATATTACTCTCTCCGTCTCAAAATATAAGACACAAATATAAGACACTTTAAGTAGATTAAAGTTTTATTAAATGCATTAATTTTAATATTACCCTTTCTCTCTCTATAATTAATTTTTGTCCTTTTTCTTTTCAATTTATTAGATGATGAGTATTTTTGAAAGTTTATATTTTTGTTTTGAAAATATAAAGTTGTTAAATATATTTAATGAGGTTTATGTGAGATTTTATTTAAAAATGTCTTGTAATTTGAGCTAGGTCCTTTTCATTTATCCTAATCAATATTTTAAAAATTATACTGGTAATTAAATTATAATAGTCATATTATTATTATTATTATTATTATTATTTGGAATGCATAAGAGTGTCTCTCCCTGTGTGTATTATTTCTTTTCACACCTGATGAAATATACATGAGATTAATAAAATTGTCATATCAAGGCAGTGAAACTAGTTATTATATGACTTGATATTTATCAAAACTTATAGCATTTATATATTTTCCAATGCAACGTTTTCATGGTCGTTTTACATATTTAAACTGGGCATGTTAACTTATTTTCTGCTCAAATTGGGCCCAAAAATTGAAATCCTAAACATTAATAGCAATAAAAACAAGATCAATAATATTAATGAGATTGTGTTTGGTAGAAGGGATTGATTTCTTAAAACATGATGAATCAATGTTTAAATTTTTGTTAGGAGAGGTATTTACATATTTAGTACTTAATAGTGTCTTGAATATAATTTCTTATAATAAGAGGATACTTGTAGATAAAAAAAAAACAACAATAATACTAATTTGGACAGATTAAAGGGACGGTTAGTGGCAAAAGGGTTCACTCAAACATATGGCTTGGGCTATAAAGAGACTTTTGCCCCTGTGGCCAAACTTAATACTATCAAAATCTTGATCTATGTGGTTGTAAATCTGGATTGGCCTCTCCATTAGCTAGATATTAAAAATGCCTTCCTAAATAGTGACCTTAAGGAAGAAGTCTTTATGACACTACCTTCAGGTTTTGAGGCAGGAAAGAACAATCAAGTGTGTAAGCTTAAGAAATCTTTATATGGCCTTAAACAATCACTGCGGGCCTAGTATGATAGATTCTTTGAAATCTTGAAGATTGAAGGGTATAAGCAATGATTGTCTGATCACACGATGTTTGTAAAAATATAAGGTGGTAAGAGGTGTATACTCATTGTATATATTGATGATATAATTGTCATAGGTAACTATAAGGAATAGGTAGATAGAGTAAAGAAGGCTCTTGAAAAGGAATTTGAAGTGAAAGATCTTGCTAACTTGAAATACTTTATGGGCATGGAGGTTGCAAGATCACAGAAAGGGATTTATGTGTCTCAAAGAAAATATATTCTCAATTTACTTAATGAGATAGGAATGTTGGGGTGTAAACTTACAGAGACACCTATTGTTGTGAAGAGGAAGGGGAAGAAATTGAAGAAAGATATGAAAAATGAAGAAGATGAAGTTGAATTTGAGGAGGATGATTGTGAAGAAGAAGAAGAGAAGAATGAATCTGTGAAGAAAAAGAGATACCAAAAGTTAGTTGGGAAACTAATTTATCTCTCTCATGCTCGACTAGACATAGCTTTTGCAGTCAGCGTTACAAGCCAGTATATGTGTGACCCTAGAGAAAGCCATATGGAAGCTGTATACAAAATCCTAAGGTACTTGAAGGTGACACCAGGCAAAAGGTTGTTGTTCAAGAAGCAAAACCTACAATCAATAGAAATTTACACAGATGCAAATTGGGGAGGAGCATACAAGGATAAGAGATCAACGTCAAGCTATTGCTCATTTGTATGGGGAAATCTAGTTTCCTGAAAGAATCAAAAGCAAATAGTGGTCCTAAGGAGTAGTGCAGAATCAGAACTAAGGGCATTGGCTCAAGGTATATTAGAGGTACTATGGGTAAGGCGAGTACTGGATGAGATATATGTCAGGATTGATCCTCCATTGAAGTTGTATTGTGATAACAAAGCTTGCACTAAATCCAGTTTAACATAAAAGATCCAAGCATGTGGAAATTGATAAACATTTTATGAGGGAAAAGGTTGAAAAAGGAGTTGTGTGCCTCGTCTACATACCAACAAAACTCCAGGCCACTGACTTACTCACCAAAGGATTACACAAGCCAGCATTTGATAGGTGTATAAGCAAGTTGGATATGATTAGTATCTATGATCCAACTTGAGAAAGAGTATGATTGAACGTGTTTTATTATATTTAATGTAAGTATTTTTTATTATTAAAGGGGATATTGTAGGTAGTGAAAATAGAGATTTTTTAGGTAATTTATTCTCGAATATCCTCTTTTGATTTAGTCTCCTTATTTCTTGGAGATTTGATTGTCTTCTCTCATGTATAAATCTGTGTAAATGCCTCAGGATCAATTAGATAAGAGTTTTCAATTTATTTGCTACACTAATTAACATATGTGAGAAAAAATGGATGTGAGATCTACTAAGGAAAAAATGGTGAAAAATTATTTAAAATAGTTTGGACATGTACAAAAGGTTGTAAGAGACATTAGTGATAAAAGTAGAACAGATAGTCTTGAGTTTTATAAAGAGGGATGGACAAAGATTAAAAAAAAAATACTCATAGAAGTTTGCAAAATGAAACTTCTTGATTAATAATATATTTCAGGATTAGTTGTCGATATGTGCAATCCATATAACTAATAACATTTAGATGGATAAATTTTGTTGTTATTGTTGTATATTTTTCATAATTCTTAAGTTATAACAATTTCTGAATATCTTTTCTTAAAACTTAGAACAACATTGTTTAGATAGTAAGCTTCAGCTTGTATGATACACATGTGAGGTAATAACCGAAAATAAAAAGTGGTCACCTTTCTTATACGACATGAAATAAGAACAAATACCCTACAAGCAAAAATATATGGCCAGGCCAAGTCTTCTTCTCCATCAAACGTTCGTACAAAGAATGAGAATCTTCTTGTTATCAATCTGCATTATCTCTTCCTTTTCTTTTTCTTCTTTTTCCACAAGAAAACACACCGACCCACCTCATCGGCTCAATTTATTGGAAGAGACGTGAAAGTTACATTCCAAATTCCCATGTTTTGCTCACCAAATTATTTAGTACTTCATTTTATCTACTAATTCAAATTTAAGTAAGGTCATGTCCAAATCAAAAAAACAAAAAAAATTCTTTTCGTGGCTTTTCTTATCCCCAACCTCTAAATTATAGGATTCAAGAAGTACCTATTCTTATCGATGACTTTTTAAATAGATAAAGTGATTTAATTTATAAATCATTAAATTGATGGTAATCTTTTTTTTTTAAATAGAATGCCTAAATTATTCTTAAAAAGTGAGAGAGAGATAAAAAAATAATATTATATAGTTTATCTATTTTTAGAGAATTATGTTTGTAATTTCACTAATTTTTATTTCTTATACTTTTGTTGTATTGATATTGATGAGGTTGGTAGAAATGACTTATAAATAAGACTTAAGGGAGTATTGAATCTCTTACTATTTAACCTAATCATTATTAATTTTTTATACATATTTAAATTGGGCTACTCATGTCTCAAATGGTTTATTCAATGTTTTTTTTAATTTACTGTATTTGATTTTATAAATTTGAAGACTTCCCTTGTAAATATTAAGACTGAAAATCAAATCCGTCAAGGTATTAAAAGTTAATGTCAAAAACATAATTGAATCATAATTAGTGCAATTACAAATGAAAAATTTTATTAAATTATTCAAAACACTAATTCAATTATTTACTAATTCAACTGATTAGATTGATTCGAATTTCACTGCTATAACATATTGTTCCCATCCTCATATGAAACGGTCACTGTTCTCTTCATCTCATTTTCATGAAGCAAACTACCAATGATATGATTTGGATTTAATGACTATATTTATATTTAAACACACGGAATGCCCATATCATTTAAATTGTTAAAGTACATATTAATAATTTTAAATTTATATTGCACTTGATATTAATGAATGAGTGAATTTATTTAAATTATTGATATAAATTTTAATAATTTAAATAATACATATTCATCTAATTTAAATTTAACAATGGCATAAGTTATTAAGAATCGGTGATAAATTTCTTTCAAATTCACCTCCTTTTTGTCAAAATGAAATGCATTTCTTTTGTGTAAGGATCATTGTAGGAACTTATCTATCACTATTTTTTTTTTTGTTTGAAAATGGAAACACCAAGAGGAATAATTGATATATATATTTAAAAAAAAAAAAAACTGGACGAGGAACACAATGAATGATTGAATGAACAATTGACCTGAAACAGAATGAAGCCACGTGTCCATTTCCAACCGATTCAGAACCAACGAGAATGATCATTGTTTCAGCGTATAAGCTGAGAAGCACTGATGAACAAACAACGTAATTGCTAATTAGCTGTCAAACAAAGCAAACCATTTCATTCAAGTTTGCGTTCAAAAATCAGGATGACAGACGATGCAGAGACGTGCACTCCAAGAAATAAACGGAGCAGTGCCTATGAGTTTGGGTGGGACCCATCACGTGACACTCTTTTAACTTTAAAGATAAAGAATAGGACCCTCCTAGTAATCAGTTTCTCCTAATGATTTTTGCATATTAATTCATTAATTTAGGAAGAGACAAATTAATTAAACCCCACAACCACAACACAAGTTTTATCTTAATCCCAAAATGTTATCAGATTCACACAACAATCTGGCTTTTGTTTATTTGGTTGACTAATTGTGTGTATAAGTCACGGATTAATAATCCTTTTACATGTTACTCTTTCTATATGAAATATTTTTAATCAAATCATATAAACTAATAAAAGTTAATTATTTAATTAAAAGTACAACAATATTTTAATTTTGATCCCAATTATTATAAATAAAAATAAATTTTTTTTTAAAGTAAATTAATGAGCCTACTTATTTTTTTCCCTTTCAATTTAACAAGAATATAATGGTCCATTCATTAAAAAATATACCAACAACCTCTTATATTTAGGTACAAAAAAAAATTTTAAAAGACTTTCATATATAGGGTTGGAGGGAGTACATTGTATAAAAAAATAGATAATTAGTTCCCGTGAACTATAATATAACTCGCTTTTTAATAGTTTTACTTAATCTAAAATATAAAGCATTGGATATGTGTTATATTTGTTTTCTAATTATACCCTTACTAATTAATGAAGTTATATTGAATAAGTTAAATATTATATTTATTACACTCAAAGTACAATTGAAAAGATGTGAGAATTTTTTAAAAATCAGGATTTTAACTAATTTTTTAAAACGTAAATTAGTTAATAAAAAATTAAATTACGGTCCGGAGGGACTAATTACTTTCTTTTAATTTTAACCTTTCACAATTTTCTATTAAAAATTGTTTTCAAAGATGATCCATTTAACGAGAGAAAATTAAAAAATATCTATCCCTGATTTTGATAATTTAAATATCTATCTTTCTTTTTCAAACAACATCAATAATTTAAATATCTATCCCTAATTTTGATAAGGTATTTACAAGTGATTTACATGCCACTCAAATTCTTATTAAAAAATATTGCCAACTACCTCATCCAAAATAAAGAAATGTAGTTAAATCATTAATTTTGTCTAAAAATAAAATAATTTTTTATTTTACTCATATTTAAAAAAAATTTATCTTTGCATTACATTTTTTCTGAAGAATTTTAAATAAAAATAATATTAAAAAATTTAATTAATCAACATCCATCAAATGATTTATAATGAGGACTGTCTATATTTGTTAGTAAGTGCTTTATGATAAGTAGCAGCATGGTATGCAGGCTTGGAGGAAGAATCTTTTTTGGGGAAAAAAGTGGGGGAAATCAAAATAACTACTTTATGCTTTTGCTAAGATCATTATCAGCTGGCGCCTGGCAGGCCATGAAGTTCACAGATCAAAAAACTCGTTCACTCAAGTTCATGCTTTTTGTATAGAGAGCAATGCAAAAAAGGGCCAGGACTAGTTCCATCTCATTCACAACATTCTTTCTGCCCAAGTTTATCTCATAAAGATATATTCCTTTCATTTTCAAATATAAAATAATGATAATAATAAATTTATATAGTTTAAAAATTAGTTAAATATAATAATTATTTTTGAAATTAGAAAAATTATGCCAAATTATCTTTGTAATTAATGAAATAAATTTGTCTGATGAAGATAAACAGTAATGTTATGAAAAATAATTTGGGAAAAATATGATAAATGCTTCTTGAAATTTGTAGTTTTACTTATAAATATAAATAAATAGACACATGGTTGTTCCCCTTGTATTAAAAAATGGAGCAAGTATATTCATGGAGAACTATCAAAAGTTATTACTTTCTTTTTTGTTTCTGTGACTTTGAAGGCTCAAGTGGATATATGATATATCCTACGTTTTGGCATTGGCAAGGACCAACCTTTGAAGCTTCAATAATAATTTTATTTTGGCATTCCTTGACACTCATTCTAATGTGTATGGTAATTTCACAAAGACAATTATGTCAATTGGGTACATGACATTGTGATTCTACAGAAACACTTTCTGGAAAGAGAAAGCAACAAACCTTTAGAAGCAACAGATACAGAAGTGCATAATAACTTCGTGGGAAGTTGTATGAAAGAGAACTTGACGTTACCCTTTCTCCTAAGTGCCACAAAACAACAGAACTTGCTCCCCAAGTTCACCATTCTCAGTGTTTTTTTTTTCTTTCCCTCTTGGGTATAAAACCAACCCCATCATTCATCATTCTCTTCAACACTTGACCTCTGTTTTGAAAGATAAACAGTACAAACACTTGTTCTAAATAACCATGGATCATAGGATTTCATTGGAAGAAGATGGAGTGAGCACTGATCTGCAAGCTAATAAACTCACAAGGCTCAGCCAAACTAGCAGCGCAGGTACCACAATGTTTGAGCCTCATGGCATAAGAACTATTGAGAAAACAGAGAGCAATATTACTGCTGAATCTGTCTCCTCATCCTGTTTAGATGTTGAAGCACCAGAAAAGAAGCTAACCCTCTTTGCTCTTCAACTTGCTGTGTTTGAGAAAGCAGCAACTGGGTTAGGAACACTTGGGTTTATCTGGGCTACTGTGGTCCTTCTGGGTGGTTTTGCCATTACTTTGGATTCAACTGACTTCTGGTTCATCACCATCATACTACTGATTGAAGGGACCAGAATTTTCAGCAGGAGCCATGAGCTAGAATGGCAGCACCAAGCCACTTGGTCCATAACTGATGCTGGAGTAAATAGTTTCAAGGTTTTGAGGTCAACTTCAAACTATGTCCTTGAAAGTATAAAGAATTGCCTTTGGAAGCCAGTTGTTGCTGTCAAGAACTGTAGCCAACATGAGAGAGAAACAAAAGAGGCCAGTGCAGCAAGTCCTCCTTATCGGGACAGCACACCAACTAGAACAAGGACAAGCTCAGATGTTCCAATTCTACCATATGCTAATTGGGTTTTCCTGTCAAGCCGTATCAGTAGGCTTCTCTATTGGCTTCAGCTTCTTTCTGCCACTGCTTGTGTGGTTCTCTCATCCGTAAAGCTTATCAAGCATAACTATGGAGAGGTAGCTAAGGGAGATACTGACAAGAGGAACAGGCAATTTGCTCTTAATATCTTCTATGCATTGGCTTTGGCAGAAGCTTTATTGTTTCTGATGGAAAAAGCTTACTGGGAATGGAAGATCAGCTACCGGAAAATGTTGGAGGAGGTTAGAGATGAGTGTGAATTGGGGCTGTTAGGAATGGTGTCAATCAGAAGGTTCTTTTATGATGCTTATTCAAGATGTATTGAAGGAAGCATATTTGATGGCTTGAATATGGGCATGGTCAGTTTTGCTATGGATCTATTGGATTCAAACTCTCATGATGAGCAACTCACTGGGGCAAGAATTCTTCGCCAGCTGGCCACCAGTGAACGGTTCTCTGAGGATACTCTTCAAAAGATTGGAATTGCCATATCTGTGTTAGAGAGACTGGTTGAGATGTTGAATTGGACAGATCACAAAGAGGAAGAAATTAGGGTGTCAGCAGCAGAAATCCTATTGAAACTAGCAGGCAAGAAGCATAACTCTCTGCGCATAGCTGGGATACCAGGAGCTATGGAATCAATATCTTCTCTTCTTCATACTAATCGGAACTACGTTCCTGCAGCCGACGAAATTGGAGAAAAGAAGCATGTACTTGATAATCCAAATTATGGATTTTGGACATTTAACCACTTGGGACTTCTCATTTTGAAAAAACTTGCTCGTAATCATGATAACTGTGGAAAGATCGGACATACAAGAGGCCTCCTCCCAAAGATCGTAGATTTCACACATGCTGAAGAAAGAATATTGAAGAATGAAAATTTTGCTCCATACCAAATTATTACAGTGAAGAAATCCTTGCAACTAATGAAAATGCTGGCTAGCACAACAGGTACCACTGGGAAGGTTCTGAGGAGAGAGATTTCTGAGATAGTTTTTACAATCAGCAATCTCAGAGACATATTAAGGCATGGAGATAAACACCCCTTATTACAAAAACTGTGCATGGAAATTTTGACCAATTTGGCATTGGAAGAGGATGCAAAAGAAATAATTGGAGGAACAGGTGGAGTACTTAAAGAATTGTTCAACATATTCTTCAAACACAACATACCAGAAAATCAAAAGGATGTGGCCATTGCTGCTGGTGACACCCTAGCAATGTTGGCTCTAGAAAGCAAGAACAATTGTCATCGCATTTTGAAGTTGAAAGTGCTTGAAAGTCTTGTAGAAGCATTGAAAGTTCCATTGCTTCGCATCAATGCTGCTAGAATACTAAGAAATTTATGCACTTACAGTGGATCAGAATGCTTCAGCCGGCTGGAGTTGGTAAAAACTGCAGCACCAACAGTAAGTGTTTTTCCTTCCTATTCAAATTTGGGATAAGCTTTATATTATGTTTCTATTTTCTGAAGAGAATCTTGGTCATGTCTGCCACTTCTCAACCTTGTAGATACTTCCAGCAATCATGTCAGAAGAAAACAAACTACAGGAAGTGATGGTTGGAGTTGCAGCAAGTGTTTTCAAATTCATGACTTCTCATGAATCAAGCACTTTATTTGAAGAAGCTGGAATTTCTGAGGCTGAAATGGCAAACAAGTTAATCCAGATTCTCAAGAAGCACAAATATCCACCAACTAAGGTTCCTAGGATAAGGAGGTTTGCTATAGAGTTGTCAATAGGGATGATGAACGACAAAGCAGAAAACATATGTATCTTCAAGGAACTGGGAATGGAGGAAGCGCTGGAAGGTGTCTTAGAGACCACATCTGAGCTTGAAAGCTTTAACGTTTTCTCTGGTACCTTTGGTCTTAACCGGCACAATGTGACAATTCACTCACTGGTTGAAGCAGCATTGACGTTGCTCGGAGACGTAAAACATAGTTGACGAAGTACCGTGTTATTAAATGACTGTGACTCAGAAAATGCTGTAATATTGTGCATATTTAAGGTGTAGCAGTTATAGTTTATCCAAGAAAGCATGCATGTTTGCTTGGGCTGGAAAGCTAGCATTCAGCAATTTATTCATTGTTATTTCAGATCTAATGTCATATTTGGTTTAACTTATTGGCATGTCTAAATATTTTGAATCACATGGCCTCTTGCTTAAAAATTCAAAAATTATGTGATACAATAATTTGACTTTTACTAACCAAATTTGACATTTATGTCTTGACCTTAGGTTGCTGCTTCGTCGATCTACAAAGATTACAAAAGAACTAAACAGCATTTTTGCGCATTGCACCGAGTCTAAAATAAACTACGCTGGTCGTGTCATAAAAATTGGTATAGTTTTTGATTTTTTTTTTTAATGAAGTTTTTATGTTTTATATCGATGACTTTAAATGACTCACCATAAGTACATTATGAAGTAGTTAACTTAAAAGCAATCCTGTAGGAGTTGAGCTTTTGTAACACTTTTTTATATTAATTAGGATCATTAATCATGTGTTATTGGTTCAAAGTGCACACATATTGTATTAAAATTGAAAATTTGCTTAAGTGCCTAAGTTTTGTGCACTAAGAATATTTTGATCCAGAGATAAATTTTTGAGAAAATTTATAAAAAAAATTGACAAAATATACTTCAAGTGTAGAAGAAGACTGGTCAAATTAGATTTTATAAATTTATTTTAGTTTAGAAGCAATTAAATAAAAGTCAACACTTATCATTAATTTTTTCAAATGTGTTCTTTTGACTAAGTTTTTTGTTTGCATTTGTGTGGGAATTTTGTATAATTTTGCAAACCCAAATACTTAGATATTTTAGTAAATTCTTCCTTCTAAATATGAATTTATTACCACACTTTAATTATATTTTATGGTGTTACATTTTATTAAATTGAATTATATATATGTTGTGACATAGGTGAAATGTGCACATGTGTATCAATTGGGCAAAGCTTCAAGGAGGGAAATCTAAACTTAAGTGGCTTGCAAATGCTATAATTGGGTGGACTAGATCTAATTAAAATGTAGATGAAGCATGGAATTAAATTGATACACTTTGAAAATTTTTATAAGCCAACAGGAGCATGCCATCTTGCAAGCTTCTTTCACATGACTTAGATCTACTTGCATTTTATTTTTATTTTCTTTTATTTCATTCATTTGGAGCTGATGCCAACACCAATCTGCACGCACTTTCACATCATCCACACACACTCTCTCGTTCTTCATTTGTTCTTCATTTGCTCTCCACATAACCCTCATGTCCAGCACCATTTTCTTTATCATTTCTCACTCAAATCACCACAAGACACGCATCATTCTTCATTTCTCCCATAGCTCGTCCTTTCCCTAACCTTCTTCCAAGGATCCAAGCCTAAAATTCTTCATCCAAGCAAGAATGGAGTTCAGCTACCTTAAGGACATCAATGATTTCATGGAGATGGAGTTGAGTAGCTAGGCTCTTTGATGGAATCCTGGAAAGATGAAGATGGAGGATGAATCAAGAGTTTTATATGGCTAAGCTTCCTTTGTTTCCTCTTCTCTTTTCACTTGATGATTAGATACTTTAGTCTAGGGTTTAATTATCATTGCCTTGTCATTCCATTGTGAATAAGAGGATTGGGGCATTATTTCTTTCCTTGTTTGTAGTGGAGATTTTCAGCCACTCTATGAAGAATGCTTAGTTTTGTGTTTTTATTCAATAAATTGCTTGTGTTGATATTACATAATATTGTGATGTTAATGCTTGTCTCATTAAGTAGCTTGACATAGTTTTGTGATTACTCTAATTTAGCTCTAGGCCATGGCATTCAAGGGAGAATTTAATAGTCTCACTTGGCTAATTCTTATACTAATTAGTGAAATGAACTAAGGGCAAAGTACAAGACTTATAGAGATTTAAACTAATTAGGTTAACTAGCTTATGATAGTTTTATTGGGTCAATGCAAATTTGTTCAAGGGAGTTTGGGAACCATAAATTGGCTTAATCATCAAGAAAATAATGATTCCAATATCAATCAATCTCCAAGGTTCCAACTCTTTGAAAAGAAATTTTCATACTCTCACTTTAGCTTAGAATTTTGTTCTTTGTTTAGTAATTTTAGATAAATTAATCCCAAAACTTAGTTTCACTTATTCACTTGTTAACCTCACATTTAGACATAAGCCACTCACTAGGAAGATGATCTAAGTTGACTCTATGTTGCATTAGAATTAATTATAGTTACTATTTTAGTAATATTGGTAGCTAATTTACTGGACCCAGCAGAGATTATTTTAGATCTCAGCTTGTATATCTCGTTTCCTTGTTTTAGCTTACTAGGGATAACCAGAGAATTCATGTGACTAGCATATGATTTTGTCAGGCTTAAAGCCAGAACTGTTTCATTAGATTAAGATACCAAGCTATATAATTTTAAAACTGTCTTCTTGAGCAGAAACATCTTCAAACTTTCATACATGATCGTCAGCCTTGAGCATCAACCCGGATCCCAGATAGGATTTTACCCACTTGTTCACAATCGAAAACTTCCCTAAGCACACACAGTTAAGAGTCTAAGAAGAATTCTTTTCCCCATGTAAAAGAGATACCATGATGAAACATCACAATATTACAGTCAAAGAATATATCTGATTTGTTAGTTATAAACCTAAACATACCTACTTTACACACCAGAAACCTATTCCTTTGGACAAGAATTTTACAAACTATAACCTTTTGACAGTTACAAAAACAATGCATCACTATCTGTCACCAAGAGAAAAACAATGCAGGGCTATCTGGAATCCGGATCGAAGACAATCTGGTCTCCATCTTACCGACCATGACTGTTTCGAAAAAAGTTGAAATCCCAACGACGCATTAAGCCATCCTTAATGTGGCTTGCTGGATTCTTAACAACAGTAACAGTTGCTTTTGTATTATGTGAAATGTCAGTGTCTGATGAACTTCGCGTGCTAGCGCTATCGCTAAGAGCAGAAGAAGCACTTGTGTGGCTCATGCCAGTGAGTGAAGTCTCTGTCAGAGTTTCTCTTGATGATGGGCTCAGGTCTGGTGAACATGTCTCAGGAGCACAATTTTGGTTCTGGATCACCGAATTGGAACTTGACTCAGCTTTCAAAGGTTTGGAAGATTCAGCTTTGCTAGAAATGGCTTCAGAGTTTGAATGCTTATTATGGTCAACTATGGAAGAAGCTTGTTTTGTCTCTAAGGACCTATGAAACTCCTCTAAGGAAACATCTTTATCTGATGGTTTCGCAGACACAGCATTGACATTGGGTGGTGGTTGTTCTTCTTGAGGATGTCTTATTTCCATGTCTTTCAGCGATGCCATCACAGCTTCCATGAACATCTAAGTAATGCAGACAAAAAGAAGGTAAATAAAATCCAATAATGAGACTGAAAATCGAAGGTCATGCGAAAAATCTGATGAACTGACTCACTCTTTCTTCCTCCTCTTCACTGGATGGAAAACCTGTCAGGTCATCAAGTGCATATTCCACATACTGATCATCATCCAATGTTGCTGGAACATGAGGACCATATGGATTTCCATTTGACAGATCAAAGCTAATCATTTTAGAAGATGAAGAGGAAAGATCGTTGCATTTATCATCCTGTAGTACAAATCATCACGGAAATGAGTGACAATCTAATTCCTCTTACGGATTTGGCCACCTATCGTTTTTCTTCAGTTTATTTTTTATATTTTCCCACTCTTCATCTGAAGCTAACATTTGAATTGTTCCATTAATATTGCAAAACATGTTTTGATATAATATAGAAGATTTTAAATATAGTTGAAGATTTAGCTCCACTTTAACTAAATTCCACACAGCATAAATAAACTAAGCGTCACAATAAGAAAGAGCAAAACAAGCTCAGAACAAAGAAAGAAATCAAGGAACAGAAGAAAGGACATACCTTGTGCTCGTGATATTCATCTTTTGAAGAAATATCAGATGGAACCTGAGAGAAGTCATATAATAAACAAATGACAGAAACATAAAAGTCATGCAACTGGTAGAACTTAAAACAAAATTAATGGCAGCTTAAACAGCCATATCTTCACATCTTTACTGGTCATGTGAAAAAATCTTCAGAGGATTAATTAGGCATCTTTGTAACTCTGAATGTTATTCTGATAATTCATAAAATTAAATACAAACCTCCATCCTACTCATTGGTCTTTTTGAACGGACTTGCTTAATGGCATCTACTGTACTGCTTGTTGATGGTTCTGTATCTAACAAAGAAACAATTAAGAGTTTCAGATACAGGTAACCAAATGTAACCAATGAAACGAAAATAGTTAAAAACAATAGACACTTCAATCATGCCTTTGTATTCAGATGGCGATTCATCATCAAATGCTACTTCATGCACCGATCTCCAAACATCCTGAATGTAAATTAGTCAGCTTTTGCAAACTACAAGAAGAAAACTTTACAGTCTGACTGAAACAGAACCCAATGAGATGGATGCCATTGCAGAAGAATTTACCTTACCAAAGTAATCAGTGACATTGTCAAAAAATGATCCCCCAACCTCATCCTCCGGAGGTTGCAAAACGTTGTGAAAAAATATGTTTATTGAATCAAAGTAAAATTGTGGACGGGGAGAGTTGTGGTCTCCCTCAAATTTAATAATGTTTTTGTCCCCCTGCAAAGCGGAGACAGATATTACAATGATGATTCAGTAACGAGGCTCAAAAGAAACAAAAGATAAAACAAAGGGAACGTAAAGTGAAATCCAGACAAATGACTAAGCAACTTCGAATTTATAGAAGACAAATTTTAAGAACATGCATTAAGTATACCTTAAATTATCTACAAGGCTTACAAAATGACATGAAGACTAAGTCTAACCCAACAGGTCAGGAAGATGTTAATGTATGTCAGTAATGAACTTGTAATTCTTACGGACAAATTTACCATATAGGCCTCAAATATACGATCTGAGTGATGAGGGTGTATAAAATCATCATCAATGGCATGCCCTAGTAGAGCAGGAACGAAACATCTCTTGGCCACCTGCAATATTAAATTATGGATAATAATATAAAGTGTTCACGCAAACATAAACAAGAGAAAATCAAGATGCATACCTTTTTTGAAAAAGAAAAATTCCAAACAACTCCTCAAATTTCTAAATTGGATCCAAAAGATATATTTTCTATACAATTTTTGTGTTTATGAATGCCCACAGTACCATATATATTCAACAAGTTTAGCGTGCATTAATTTGAAAATATGTAATTTAAAGCCAATTTAGATTACAATTTAAAAGTGCTGTTCTGAAGAATCAGGCACCCCTGCATCTCCTTGACAAACATTTTTTTAATTCCCTCATACCTTTCAACTAGATGAAATTTTGTATCATTATGATAAAACTATCTCATCTAACTAGTTCTTTTGGCTTGAAAAGTTCCGACAACATTTGAAAATTTAATTTGTCAAATAGTTGGTATGCACCAGGCAGAAGACACTTCAATAAATTAAGACTGAACTGAGGCCCATTATTATGTTATCTTTACTATGATACCATGTGATTCTCCCACTTTTGATTCAAAAGGGGAAAATAATGAAAATAATATCAAGACATTCTCCTGTCATTGACTGACTGATTAAAATATATCCTAAAGAACAAAATATTTGCCTGGAAGACTCAGTGAACTATTAATGGGGAAAAGTGATAGAAGTTCATCAGTTTTTCATGTCATAGTAAGTCAAGCCTACATGATGCAAACAAGTAAAAGGAACTTCTTTAATTAGATAACCTTAATTGTGTTCAAGTCTGTTATGTCAAATTTTGCCTTCTTCTGAATTGCTTTTCGCATGTATTGGATTGCAAACTTTACCTGTAAATAGGAAAAAAGGCTGGCGTTGATTAACATCATAAATTAATCAGGCATGAGAAAAATAGTTCAAGCAATTAGGCTTCATTGCTTCTGTGTAAAACTGATCTCTTAATAAATGGTGATTCCTAGGACAATAAAATTGTACTCTTCAGAGATGAATGAAACAAGGATGGCGTGAAATGTAAGGTGAATAATCAGCAGACAGTGCAAACACTATCAAATAACGCAAACAATAAATTGTCGCTTCCTAAGAAGCATGGAAAATGACATGAATAAGGCAACCAAACAAAATCTAAAGCATGCATCCGTGTGCTATATGATGTGACATTCTTGTCTAGTTTTTAATGCGGGTATCTGACAACTGTCATGAAGTCCACGTCTTCCAAATTGGACTTAATTCAAAATTATATAATCTCCAAGTAAAGAAATACGAAAACACAAAATAATATTTAATTCAAAATTTTGGATGCTCATTCATTTATGAATATATTTTCTGATTTATATTTATAATTACATTTTTAAAATGAATATACCCACAGTGAACTTCGGCAGACGAATTTTGTATGTATCTACCAATTCCATCATCAAATCCACCAAATCAGAGAAGGGACTGTCTAAAACGATCCCTGCAATTGAAGGATCCTCAGCTCCGTACATAAGGCTGAAATAAAACACCAGTCAGCACAGTGAAATATGAAATCACCAAAGCAAAAAATAGTAAATATGAAGCGCTGCACAACCAAAGTGCAGTAATTGGGTTAAAAAATTTAAAAGAAAGAAAGACAAAAGAAGTGTCTAAACACTGTTAAAAAGGATTTTCTTAAAACAGAAAAATATGAAAATATATCAATTTCCAATCATTTCCATAAGTCTCCACGGGTTCAGAACTACAAACTACTCTGGAATAATATTACAATTCTCAGTTTGATGTTATAATATATCAAGCATGATATTGGTAGATACACCTCCATTCACAAGCCATTTCAGCTACCATCTCAGGCTGTAATCTCTTCATTGTTGTTACCAAAGATCATTATCAAAAGATATAGAGAGAAAGCCTAATGGAGAATGGGAAGAGACTTGGAGAGTATTAGGGGAGATGTTGATAGTTGTTTGTAAATTAGGGATTAAGGAATAAGGATAAACATAGGCATTAGAAATTATTTAATGGGTTTTACTCAGAACTTAATTATCCTTTTGTTAATCACCTTTATATTTCTGAACTAATCTTATTAGGAGTTATTTCTCTCTCCCTATACACACACAAACATATATACATACGCTCACATGGATAATAAAGCACTTAGACAGTTAGGGTTATGTTAGCATTTTAATTTATCATTAACAAAGCTCTCTAAGCTTGTAAGTCGTCTCTCATCTCCCCTTCTCCTTCCTCTACATCTCGCTCCTTCTTCTATCCCCTTTTCTTTATTCTTACCACTGGTTCTATGTCAAAGTGGGCATTCATGTTCATCTCAAACCACACTAGCTTGCATTCAAGAGATTCACAATATCAAGGTAAATTATGTAGCTTCTTTGACAAATCTGTCAATGTCTCAGCTGCCATAAACTACAATGACATTAGAATTTACATCTCTTTCCACAACCCCAAGTATGAGGGTAAACGCTCCTGTAATTTCATTCTTATTGCAAGCACAAAATAAGACAGACAGTGAATTAAGAATACCTAGTCACAGCACCCATGGAGCGGCCCCATAAGCCAATCAAAGAGACATTTCCATCTGCCCGCAGATAATCAACCACAGCCCTGAGATCATCCTTCTGAAAACAACAACAAAAAAAGGATAGATATCCATTTCAAAATGAAGACAATAGAGTAAGTGATGGCTGTTAATATGCAAACCCCAGGTTGGATGGTGATTCAAATCCAATAGCAGGGATAATAGAATCAAGGATTTATACTTTAACTGTGATATAATCAAGCTTTAAAAAAAAAAACATAATGATACTTTTTAGACTCAGGCATATGGCAAGATTCATACTTTCTATTGATCTATATATATATATATGCAGTGCTGAATTATCCATTTTCACATATTTAACTTGGGACAGTTGAACAACAAAAATCGAATATAAGCTCCTTCTTCAGGCTTATTTCATCACCTTTCTGTATTCTCTCTTCTCATCAATACATTATTTTTTCTCCATAAAAATTCTTTTAGAAAATAGAACATGAGAAAGAGTCCACTTATTTATCTTAACCCTAAATTTGTATCATCTAAAACTAAGAGATGAGTGAAAATGTCACCTTCAGTTCCATCTTACAGGACTAATGCTACTTATCCCCCCTTCCTGACTCCACCATACTCCCATTTAAACAGGACAAGATATTAAATAAGAATAGATAAAGTTAACACAAACAAGACTCAACACATGTTATCTTTCTTAAATGGTTAACGAGCAAACACATACTTCATTCCAACCAAGAGTGACATGCTCCCCTCCAGAAAGTCCAGATCCTGAGAAATCCAGAGTGAAAACTGTAATATTTGAAGGAAGCAAAATTATAGCAGCTTCACTTCCATCTGCCCGGCATCCACTGTCATATAACATGGTACCCAGTCAACATAACCCAATTAAGTTAAAAATATTCCATAATAGACAATGATCAACTGACATGTGCATTTAAAGAGATTAAAAGCTATGGCTAATAGATTTTCATAGAACAAAAAGAAAGTGGGACGGTATCTTGCGTGCCAAGAGCCCAAGAAACTTACATATCAGCACTTGTCACTTATTTTCTATTATGCCATACTGACTATTATAACTACACATAAAAGAAAGGGATAATGGAATACACTAAACACTTTAGGTGAGTAAAAAGATATGTCAAGAAAAATTATCAAGTAGTTGAATGGATTTTGTTGAAAATGCAGCATATTCAACGTAGCCACCCAATAATTTATAAAGGCAAACAGCTAAACCAACACTGAAAAAGAAAGAGCCTAAAAATATTACAATTGCAACTACTATATGTTTTATAGTTGAGTAAATTACAATGATCTCGCAAACTTGAACCAATGAAAACCCACTTCTAGTTTTATATTGTAAAAATAGCTCATTCATAGTTAACTTTTCAAGGGGCACTTATATCTTACTCCCTCTATTCAAAAATGTAACACATCTTTAACCATATCTCACCCCCCAATAAAATAGTTACTTGTCTTCAAACTAACCCTATATTTCTATATTTACCCCTATTTAATAGGGTGTTTCACCTCAAAATAAATATAAAGTGATTTATTTAATAGGAGCACTTTTGGAAAAAATACAATAATTATACATTGAAAAACTAAAAATATCTTACATTTTTTAAAATTCAACCCATCAAAAAATGCCTTACATTTTGAATGGAGGGAGTAAGTTTTACATAGGAGGACATGTGTTTCAAAAAATAAATAAATAAATAAGCAAAATCTAACAGAGGGGATGTCATTGTAATTTATGCTTCATGGTCTTAGTATCAATATAGGAATGAAAAAAGAGTCGTCATAAAAATCAAAACAGTAAAGCCAGAAATGTTTGAAAGGCAAGTATAACAGTGTCAATGGAACTCTTCGAAACACCAACATCATGCTAAATGACTAAAAAGATTTAAGTCCCACAATCACCTGTTTCCATGGCAATATATCACACATGGCAGAGGCTTTCCTTCAGGACTGATAATAGGCATGTAATGACTGCATTGAAGAACATCACCCCGGCTGTTTTTGATCTGAGGATATTTAATTTCACATGAAACGCTGATAGTACAGTTCTTCAACTCTAACAGAAAAGATTTAACAGACAAAGAGAATTCTGTTTTTGGAATCCTACCTCTACATCCTTCCTTTGATACCATTTCCCTCTCAGCATGAACTCTTGCTCCAATAAATCACTCTTAGGGTCATATTCAGCTCTTCATTCCGATGATGAATATAATCATTATTTCATAATGATTTGAGTGAGAATTTGAAAAGAAAAATCGAGAAGTCATAGAATAGACAAATAAAAAATAGCTGCATGAAAGTTTCCTTTTCTTTTCTGGAAAAAAAAAATCCCGTTCCCTGAATATTCTTCTCAGAAGAAAGAAACTGCATATTCAGTATGCCACCAAAACTCAATCATACACCAAGATAGAGTTGCCCAAAATAATAATTCTTAGTTGAGGCGTATGGATTCTGGTGTAATAATGATTTAACAGCTTGCTTCTACTCAAAAACCATTTGATTGTAAAAGCGAATAGAAAAAAGAAATAATAAGCTACAATATTCGGTTTAAACAACCACTGTTTTTTGGTTTTTTTTCCGTTTGAAAGAAGAAATATGCAGTGCAATATTGCTATGCTTATCTGTGGTGACAGAGGAGGCAAATAACACATCACATAAGCAACATAATTTCAAGAAAAACCCAAAAGGGGAAAAAAAATTCAGTACAAACATGAGATAAGCGTGTTAACTTAAGATCTTTGTTTTGTTTGATCCCCCTGAGGAATGAGATCAGCACAAGAGAATACAATTGAGATGTCAAATGGTGATATGAACAACGAACAGTAACATATCAGAACATCAGAAACCGAGAATTTTCTCATGATAGCTTCAGACTAGATCTTGAATTTCCAACTCGTGAACGATAAAACTAAAACATGAAACACGACGTGGTAGCCCATCAATGAAAGACTATAAAGACATTTATTTCCTTACTTTTCATGTTCTTGTCCTTGCCGACTAAAAGAAGTTGAGTGATTCACAACTACATATGATTATACACAATCCAATTACTCTTAGCTGAGTTGGGGCTTCACAGAGAACTAAAAAAAAAAAAAAAACCTTTGAATTCCATCATATTCCAACAGAAGAACACCAAGAAAACCAAACATAAGCAAAATCACATATAAAGTTTTCAGTAGAGATTAGAAAGACAAAAGGAAAGAAAGTAATAATAGCCGAGACCGTGTGAGAATACGAAGAAGATTTGAGACCTTGGTGGGCGAATAATGAAGTTTATAAGCTGCTCCATAGATTCAAAGAACCAAAATCAAATCTTTCAGCAAATATGCCCTTAACATAAATATCACTTTCTATATTTGAGAGGAGAAGCACATAGAGAGAGAGAGAGAGAGAGAGAGAGAGAGAGAGAGAGAGACGGGCTTTGATGGGCAACGACGGTTTTTTGAGACAATGGAAGAAGTAAAAGAGAAACAGAAACAGAACGACCAGACCGATTTTGTTTTTTATGTGTTTTTCTTTTTCATTTGTTTACTATTTTTCTTTAAAAAAAGGAAAAAGAAAAAGAAAAAGAAATGACAGAGAAATGTACTGTTGCCAGTTGCCATGCCACCACCCACCATGCTGATGTCTGGTCCCTCGTGGCTTCCTCGCTGCCTCATTGAATCCTGACTTTATATAAAAATTATAAATTTATATTAAAAAATTTAAGAGAAAATTGCCCATTTGATCAATACCTTTTATACACTAAAATCTAGCATCTGAATTTTGATAAGTACAGTTCATATAATTTTAATTCAGTTAAAATTTTATTTTTAAATTTTAAATCTTACAATTCAATTTCCAAAATTGTATCAATCAAAATGTTAGTTCCTGCAATTTAAAAAATAAGATTTTGAAGAATAAAATTATTATTAAATTTTATGTATTAATGTTTTAAATGAATAAAACTATAAAGAATTGGGTTGCATCAAGTTAAATTTTAAAGATTGATTTAAATATGAGTTAAATTATAAAAATTGAGCTGTAAGAAATTAAAAATTGAGATATTAAATTACAATCAAGTAAAAAAATATAGAGACTATATGATTAACTTTTCTAAAATTACAAAAAGAAGAAAAAAAAAAGTACTAAAATAATTATTACATTAGCCGCGAAATTTAAACACAACTTTATAATTATTTGCCAAACTCAATTGGATCAACCTTTATCACTAAAATGATTATGTATGGTCTTTTAATTTTATGTGAAATTCAATATAGAAGAAGGTTTTTATAGTGTGTTTAATTTGGAAAATATTGAAAATTTCATCTGAATATCAAACGTATGTTTGTTTTACAGATCAATTATAATGGGTCAACATTTACCGTTTCTTTTGTTAAATTATACTCGTCCTCCTAATTTACATCTCCGAAAACCAAAACGAAAAACGAAAAACGAAAAACATCGCTTGCCAATGTACTTTTCAAATTGAATTTCGTCCAATTTGTTGGGCAAAAGAACAGAGAAAGGAATAAAGTTATCATAGACCGGAAAACGAATAAAAAAAATAAAAGTACGAGTGACGTGAAACTTAACTTTTTTTTTTAAATAAAACTGAATCAAATATTATTAAAATCTAATGTTTTGAAAACCGAATCGAACTAATTCAATTATTAGCTAGTCTAGTTTTTGGTTTGGTTCATATAAAAAAATTATTTTAAGAGTTGAGCTGGATTGAGCTGTTTCAAACCGACGATCGGATCGGAAACCGGATCCAGTTTTTAAAACTGAATTGTTCAAAAAAAATATTTTTAATCAATTTTTTTTAAAAATGACTAATTTTTTTAATCATTTGATATTATGTTGCATCATGTGACTTGTTAAGTCATGATAAACTTAAAATATTTTATTTTTTTAAGTTAAATAGTAATTTCATATGTATTTCTTATATTTAAATTATTATATACATCATCGATTGGACCATTGGCCCAACCCGGTCGAACCATGCAAACCGTAAATAGCTAACTTTTTCAATTCAATATCTGATCCGATTCTGAAAACATTGCTAAAAGCAACATGAAAAATATAATAATTTAATCAACGCTAAAAAGTAATCCTTTATCATTCACTATCTCTTAGGTAAGAGGAGGGGGATAATCAAAAATACAAAAACTCTTTTTCTAAACTATGAGATAATCTAGCTAAATAATTAGCAATAGTAATATCCTTGCGAGAAAAATATTAAATATTAACGGATCATGCTTTGTGGTATAACAAATGATCTTCATCAATAATATTCTCAATAGGATTATTTAGAGGGCTTCCCTTGGAGATCAAATTCACAGCTTCAATGAAATCATTGAAAAGGTCAATATTTCTGTATCCATTTTTCCAACAACGATACATGCATTGGATGATTCCAATAACCTTCGAGATGGTTGGGAAAACTTTTCTTAATATGCAGATAAAACCACGTATTCAAACATCATTTGCATGAAAAATAACCCCTCCACAACCACTATCTCCATTATTAAAGACCAAGCCATTAACATGAAGCTTGATACAAATTACAATCATTTTTTCCCTAAATGTGATTTTGAACCCGATTTCTCTTATAAATTAACAAAAGAGCTCTCCTAATTAAATCACTATCAGAGCAAGCTCTATAAAAGCTCACTAAGACATTTGAATGATCATAAAAATCATCTTCTCAAGAAACTTTTTTACACCTGTCAACATAGATGTCACAACATACATATCAAAACAAAATATTCCAATTTATTTTTTTAGTAAAGTTTTTACCTGTTTTTTGTGATAAATTCCGACGTAGCCAATCAACATCTTGCAAAGTGTTGAAAGTATGCCATCTACCTCTAGCATTAACACAATCACACAGTAAGTGCATAAAGTTCTCAACAGCTTCACAGCCAAATGGACACCCTTTGTTAGCTTGCATTCCACGCTGCTATATTTTAACTTGGATGATATATTTTTTTAATTTGACAAAAAATATATTTTTAAGCAATATAACTATATTTGAGCAACAACAAAAAAGCCACATGAATATATACAAAATAGTTTTAAAGTAAATTATAAATTATTCAATTTATGCCAGGCTCTCTTCCGATTTTTTTCAAACTTTCAAGGAATGTATTGGACAACATAAACTTCTCAGTACTATTTATAAGATAGGGAAAGAAATTTTTTAATTTTTATTTATAAATTATATTATTAAATTTTTATTTCAAAATGTTTTCTTTACTCTCTATTGAATATTGATGAAAGAAAGTGTGGTAGGAAAGCCTATATATTTAATATTCCCTCGTTTTAAATTATAAAACACTTTTACTCTTAACAACCTTTTTTTAAAAATAAAAATATAAATTTACAAAAACACCCTTCATTTAATATATTGAAAAAAGATGGGAACAAAAATTAAATAGAGCTAAAGAAATGATAATATTACAATAAGCTTATTTAATAAAATATTAATATTATTAAAGTGACTTACATCTTGGTACGTTAATTTTCCCTAAAAATGCTTTATAATTTGGGATTGAATGAGTAGTATTTGCTATGGGTAAGGTTTGAAACTTATTAAATTTTTAGATAAAGTAAATTAGTTTTAAAGTTTTGTTTGGTTATTGTAAAATATGTTGAAAATAATTTATAAATAGGACTGAAAAAATACTTCCTCCAGTTCTTATTATAAAACACCGCTAACTATCCACTGAAACAAAGAAGGGGCAATTAAGCCATTAACTATCTATTAAAAAGAATAAACTTCTAATTTTATCCATATTAAATGAAAAGAATTTCAAATTTATTCTCTCTCACAATTAATCAATTTTAATAAGGATAATATTAAAAAAATATAATTAATACACTACCAAAAGCCTCATATTAAGTATCATTAATATCTTCTAGAAGGTGCTTCATAATAAGAAATGGAGGCAGAATATATAATTACCTTCTTTTTTTTGAAGAAAAAAAGTCAAATGAATATATTAGCTAAAAAAATCTTACAATTCAACAGAAATTAAAAAGGATGATTACAAAGAAATATATAATTACTTTCTTATATTAAGACTTAATATCAACCAAGTTTGAGTTTGTTTGATGGTCATAATAAAAAATAAAAAAATTATAATATTAATTTTTTATTAAAAAATAACTTTTTTAGCAAAAATAAACTGAATATATTAATAATCCTCAGAACATCTTTCAAATCAAGTCAAGTATTATTAGAAAAAGTTGGATTTAATTTTTTTTATATAATTATTTGGCTGAATCATATTCGAGCATCGTCTAACTCTATTGAAGATAATTCTTTTAAAAATATTTTCTGCATTCACATAAATTTAAATTTAAAAGTTCATGTTTAAATGATTATAGTACCTTTGTACCAAGACTAACATTTTTGAGACCATAGAAATATGAAAGTTCAAATTTTGTTTGATGGATTTTTTTAATTGGGGTTGATTTTTTTTTTTCCGGCAATTATTGGGGTTGAAGGTTGATTTTGTTTAAAAAAAACAAAGTATAGATATTTATGATAGAGCATTTAATTGACGAGGATGGAGGGTAAAGATGACGCATATAATATTTTAATGAGAATGATGGGACAACTTTCCACCACCACTACATCATGAATTTGATGTATGAGTGTTACCCAATACCCACCACGCTTGTACTGTGTCAACAACGCACATAATTGAACATCCATTAAACCTTAATTTACAGTGGTTAATATAAAAAGTGAGACCAAGCATGTTGATTAATAATAATAATGTTTGAGAGAAGTGGCATCTATAACTGGCATATATATTTAATAAATTAATAAAACAAATCATAATGTTCACAAAGTTACAAATAGCATGACTTGACGCATGCATCAGTCCCACTACTAATTGGGGAAAAATATGATACAAGGCAAAATGCAGAGTTTTGTAAATATTTAATGATGTCTCTTTAGAAATGCCCATTAGGAATGCTCATTGGAAAAGGTATTTTTCAAACAACAACTATTTTTAATGGTGCTTTATTTATCTGTGTGAATCAATAGATTTGTGCCTTATATTTGATGATAAATAGAGTAGTACGAGAGAATGCAAGAACAAAAAATTAAGACATGCATAAGTATGGGTCTCATGTTTGAATCCATAAAAATGCCAAAAAAAAAAAACATTTATAAGAGCAACCCCACTTAAACCATGTATGTGAAACCTTTCCATTTTTCTACCATCATTTTTTCTTCACTTCCGCAATCATAACCTTGGACATCATTACATTAAGTGAATCTGTTTTAGCTATAGATTTGATGAATGGTTATTATTAAGGAAGTGAAGGAAAAAATGATTAGGGAATGCAGAGATTCTACATTCATTTGAATCCTAGTTCAGCTCAAGTTTGGATTAGTTAGAGTTTAACATCACGTCAAATACTAGGTGATGTCTTGTTTAAAAAAATAAGGAAAATAGCATTCAAGGATTACTGAAAGTATTTACTATTAATCAAAGATCAAAATATTCTAAAATATCACTGCAAGACTAAGAGATTGATTTGAAAATAATCTTATATGGAAAAAGATTATAATAACATTGCCTTTCTTTTTTTTAATTGACATATAACCATTCATAAATTATCAAGTACCCAATCGCTAATTGATAAATTCAATAATATGAAAGAATTTAATTGTGGGAAAGGACAAGTATAAATTATGTTTCAACAAATAGCCATTCATTAATTAATAAGTACATATTTGTATTTAACAAAAAATCATTCATTAATTGACAAATTCAATAATTTGAAAAATTTGGTTGTGAGAAAGACAAATGTAGATCATATTTTAACAAGTAGTCATTTGTTAATTAATAAGTACTCATTTATATTTAATAAAAAACTTTTCGCCAACAAGTTTTAAAAAAGAAAAAGAAAAGTAGAGGTATTATAATCTTTTTCTGTTTAAAATTATTTGCAAATTAATCTCCTGATTTTGCAGTAATATTTCAAAATCTTATGATCTTTATTTGATATTAAATTATTTCTATGGTCCTTAGAATGATATTTTCCCTAAAAATTAATAAGGCCTGCCAACAGCAACGTGGCAACAGGGCATGATGATTAAGGTTAGACATCAGCAAAACAATGCAGCCACTTAGAATTTTCCGTCCCAAATATTCTCAATTCAATTATCAGCATATGCTTCCTCCTCCATGTCGTCCCACAAATTGATTGACTTCCCAAGCCATGCACAAATTAATAATCATTGTCACCGTCACATTATATATATTCTAATTTAAAATTACTTACAATCATAATGTTTAATTATAGTTCTATTAAATTTAACAGTAACTTTTTTGGAAAATTTAGACATAAATCTTACAAAGTTTAGCCATAATTTCAGTTTTAAAATCCTTAAATCAAAATTTCCTAATGACATCAACTAGTACAGTGGCATGATGATGACCCCCAACAATTTGTTTTCCGGACAGAAATGATCAAGACATATTAAATAATAAATAATAATGTAGATCATAATGCAGACAAATAAAAGACAATCTAAAAACTTATTGAATTATCAAATGTGAGTGAATGTAACTTAGTGTGAAAAAAACAGATAAAGTTGAGCTAAAGAATAAATATATAAGTGAAAAGTGCCTATAAATTCAACGCATTAAAATTTTGAGTTAAGAAATGATGTTATATTTACTTATGTGTATCTCTTTAAAATCATTCAATCGCCCAACTAAATTCTTTCAATCTTCTAAGATGTTCTCCGATCCCAACAAAACTAAACCAATACACAATAAACAAACCAAACAATGCAACAACAAAAGAAAAAACAAAAGATGCAATAAAAAGACTCTAAAGTCATTCTTCTATACTTCATCCATTAAAAAATATGAAATATTTTCAATTAAATCTCGTCTCAATAAACTAATTATATTTAAATTAATTCAATCTTTTTATATTCACCTTTATTTATATCCTAAAAAAAATATAAAATGGCATATTCAATAAAGACACTTTTAAAAGAAAAAACTAATAATTAATTACACTTTAAAAAATTAAAAATGCCTTACATTTTTTAACATCTAACTCCTAAAAAAATATCTTACATTTTTTAACTAAAAAAGTATCAATTATCAAATCTCTTGTGACTTTGTGGCACTTGGGGGTTTAGCTTGCCAACTCCACCCAAAAAAAAAAGTCATAAAAAAGCCGTGCTTCCAAATCATGAAGAGATCAAATCTAGAATGGCGGTATTGCTATTGGAAATGAAGTCTTTGATCCAGTCTTCCAAAGATGGCAAGCAGTAACGAGAAATGACACTTTAGGTTAGCTTCAGTCATCCTAGATCACAAAAAAAAAAAAAAAAAGCATAATTGCAAAATTATCCGTAACCCTTGAAAGCACATTTTCATTCTTCACTTACTGCTTCTAATTTCTTACATCCATTTACCTTTTTTTTTTATTTGTTGCGGAATGTTCGGGCCAAAAAATAGAACGCCTTGCACGTTCATTTGAATCTGGAAATATACAATTTTTTTTGGCACACATTTACAAACTTTTTTCCCAATTATTTTCAATTAAAATGTTTATTTTGAAACGAATCAAATTACACCTGAGTGCTCAAATGTTATAAATTTGAACATTATTATTAATTTTGAAAAAACAAATTTTACTACTAAATTCAAAAGACCTGGCTATCCAATTTCAAGAACGTCAACATCATACACGCAGGAGGCCCTAACTATTTTGAACCTGTTAGCAGAGGAATAGGCATATGATTCATTTGCAAATTTCAAATCTCAGTTTCCAGACATGGAGCCTGAGCTCAACCTTGCTTAAAGCCTTAATGTATGTGGTAAGAGAATAAAGCATACGCCAATAAGTTCTGATACAACAGGGTTTTCAGTCCCCCTTTATCTGCAGTTCAAGTTCTCAGTTAAGGTCTTCTTACATTTCCCTGCACACAGAGATTCCTCACATTGCGTTAGTCAGAGCATTGAATGTCATAAAAATATAGTCAGCAAAGCCGAATCTTATGCATTGAGAGAACTGATTCCGAAGAGAAGAGTTTGCAGGGATGAAAACAGCAATGGACATTTTAGCGCCTAAGTTCTGATAAACTGATTCAAAATATTTGGCAAAAATCAGTTCAATAAAAATTAATTGTTGTAAGGAGTTATAATGAAATTTGTATTTGAATATAAATTTCTTAATTGAATGTACAAGCCATCATGTTTTAGGGATCCACTTTCAGGGCCTATTTGAATGTGCTTTCCAAAGGCTGACTTGGGTAAAATTTAATACCCAAACAACATAGGCTTTTTGAAAGTGCAAAAGCACTTTCTTGATGTGAAATGTGCAGCAGCCCAATGTTATTGATACGGGATAAAGACAATAACCAGACTTATCCATAATTTTTGAGTCCTTTTCTTGTTTGTAGCTCAATCTCTGCGTTCTAGTTCCAATGCATTTAGTCACGCATAGCTCTGACCTATCCTAGGCCTTAACCATGCATCACGAATACGAATTAAAAAATCTAGTTGGAACTGACACCTGCATTCCTTGTATATGCTTGCTACAGAAAAATTATCAACCCTGATTTGCCAATGTGAAACTTGGGTTGTAACAGTACAACCCAACTTAACTTAGATGCCCCAGAGAGCAGAGTCTACAAACTGATCATTTGCTTTCCAAGACCAAGGATTTACTTGAACTGCTTCATAATAAATCCAAGAATGACTCCTTCCAACAAAGCACTTGACATGAATAGGAAAAAAACCGATATCACATCAGAGTTATAGGAAACGAACAATTCACGATTCAGAGTGTATTGTCTCATAAAAGGAAAACAATAGCAACTGTTGGTTGAATCAGGAAAAACCAGACTCATACTTTCGAATTGCCAGAAACAGCAATGCAAAACACTGCAACTCCATTGGGTCAAAAGTGAGGTCCTTTATGAGCTGAGACAGTTAATGAAGAAAATGATAGCCTCCAACATGAACAATATGGATCCATTAAAAGCCTCTTTGTCCTTCAAATGAAGCTAACAGAAAATCATTTTGGTTTAAAATTGGCCTTCATATATACATCCAAAAACCCAAACCATCGGGTATATATATCCATTGCAAGTTGACCTGAATCTCATTGCCATATATATACACATCCAAAACCCAAACCTATGGTATATATTTAAGTTTATTAATTCAAACAATTTTTTATGCTATATATTTTTATTTTTCAATGTGTCTTCAGATCTTACAATTTCATACAATTTATAATTTAAAAATTGGCCTTTTAATTCACAATTCAACTCATGACTCAACTATCAAGATACAATGCCTCCCAGGCATAGCTCCTGTGCCTTTAGGTGGCAGATTAGAGCATGGAATAGGAAAGATGACTAATTATATGAATGCCAAAAAAAAAAAAAGCAAGTGTCCTTGCTGCAATGATTAAATCAGCATTTATCATTTTCCAGCACACAGTTTCACATCAAGAAAATGTTATAAAAGTTTAACCGGAAACTTAAATTCATGGTACCTGATTATTATTTGTCCACCGATTTAGATATTGGAAACCTGAAAGAATAATAAGGCCAACCAACACAGCACAAGCACACTAGCAAGTACACTACACAGTGATATGAAGTTAGAATCAAGTCACATTGATCATTCAACAATGTAATGCGATTCTAAACCAGAATGAACAATTTGTTACCGCTGAAGGTGAAAAAACAAAAACTCACCGTTTTGTGACCATAATATCCCCAACAGTATTGTGCAGTATTATATAATACATGTGGTGAGAATTATAAACCCCCCCCCCCAAAAAAAAAAGTGTGTGTTTGGAGAGAGAACCTAGAAAAGAAATGTTATTCAAGTATTTTTGCAAGAAAAAGGGGATATCTGTTTAATCAAAGAAAACAGTACAATGTACAATGACAAGCCACTGGGCAAGAGAGAATTCATGTTTTTTAAAACAAGTAATGCTGACAAAATTTACTCGCTAACCACATCAAATTCTGCCTTCAGATAGAACTGACTATGACTTAAGGATACTCTTGCTCAAACTGCATAAGAAAGTCACTGCAGAATCAGCGTCTCCGACCAAGGGACTTACTATGCAGCTCCAGTAAGCCTTGGAGAGATTCCAAAGACCATGCATCCTCAGTTTGGGCATATACCTTTTGATTGAGAGAGTCTATTATAATGCTGACATTACCAAACCCATATATTTGATGACCATTGTGCATTCTACCAGGTTTAAGCTTGAATAGCAAGCCATGTTGTTGGGCATGGGCCTCAATGACTTCTTTTAAGCTCATCTCATGTACACCAGCTGCACCATCCATATGGGCAGCAGCCCCCAAGCCTGAGGGAGCTTGAGTTTGAGCATGAGCTGCTGCTTTCTGCTGAGCCTCAAATTGCCTTTGCTCAAGTACCCTAAGATAGCTGATGTTTTCTTTCAAGCCAGGTTGGACCACCTCCATGCCTTCAACAGCCTGGTTCATCATATCAAGACCACGGTTTAGTTGATATCGAATACTTTCATTTGCCAAAAGTTCCTTTGGAATAAGTTCTTTCCAGCCCAAATACCATTTTGTAACTTCTTCAAAGTTAGGATTTGAGCACAACCAATGGTACAAAACCTGAAGCCACTTGGTGAAGAAGAACTTCTCCATCATATCAACCATCAGATGAATTGGAACAGCAGAAGCCCAATTCATCACCCAATAAAACTGATCAAGTTTCTGATCTGCTGGGTTCACTTGGAACTCTTGCAAGACAAGCTGCAACTTTGGCACAATAAATCGAAGCATAAGTTGTTCCCAACTCACTGAATCAAATACAGTCTTCCAAGGTGACAATATAGCATACGCAGATCCATCACTTGGGTGCCAGGCACCAAGAACAGTACTCAATTTGAAGCGTATCATCTGATACATTCCCTCTAACTTGTGTCCTAACAATGGTAACCATGGGTGCACCCAAGTATGGATAGGAATTGTCTCACGATGTGGCTCCCATGTATCTACAGCACTTGACAATTTTGGCATGACAATATTGTCCAACATGGCTGTGAGAACTGATGAAGGAAGCAACTTTTCCCAGGACTCCAAAAACCGTAACATTGGCTCAGGATCCCGTGCCTGCCAGGTATTGATACCAGAAATCCTGACAGCTGGTAAAACAACTTCAGAAATCAATTGAGTATAAGGTGATGTTACATCCCAGATATCAAGGCAATCTTCTTCTTGAAGCAATGTTTTCCACCGTGATACCAACTCTAACCCATGTAATGGATTTCGAAGAGGATCCCATCCTTGGAATACTCTAATAAACAAAGGCAAAGCATATGAAGAAGCAATACATGACAAGTTACACAACTTATAGCTATCAGCATATCTTTTCTGCAGGTCAGCAAAGCACTGTGCAAGCAAATCCAAAGTCAATGTCCCCATTAAGTTCTCTTCTCCAACTCGGTCTAGCACAGTTGTTATTTCTTCTAGATCTTCCAACTGCTTTTTTTGGTGAGCTACCTCAGTTTCTAACTTCTCTTTTTCTTTTTTCAAGCTAAGTGCTGTCTCCCTCTCTCTCCTCAAATTTCTATCAATCTCCTGGATGTCTGCTTCAGCCAACCTAACAATTAAGCCCACGTTATGCTGAAGCTCTGGCATTGGAACATCATTTTCCTTGGCCTTCTCCTCAGCATTCAAATCAGACAAATTCGTAATTACTCGAACCTGTGGCCCTCTCATATCAAAAACCTTCTGCACAACCTCCAGACCCTGTTCTTGATTGCTTGCTAACAATTCCTCAGCAGTAATATAATCATCCTCATCTTTCTTCTTCTTTGACCTTGAATGCTTTGACCATAACCTTTCCTTTGCTCTAACAGCTGTAGGTTGAGCAACCCCTGGCAATGTTGTCTTCTCAACTTGCACACTAGGCAAAGGAGTGGTTGCCTTCGAGTCATTAAATCCAATACCTGTATTCTTGGCCCTCAAATGAGCCTCAACAGGAGCTAAAATACCCTGTTCATTCTTCCCAAGACCACCTCCTTTATAGCCCATTTTCTCCAACAACTTCATTCCAATCCCCTTTGTATGCTTCTCAAACTTCCCAACATCTGGAAATCCATCTTCAGCTTGGGTTTTTCCTTGCGCTCTCTTCTTTTCCAATTTTGCCCTTTCCTTTTCCCTCTCCCTTCTCATTGCTCCCTCCTTAATCCTCTTTCCAAATGCCGTAGGCAGAAAATCGTTGTCGTGATTATCATCATCAGAAGCATTTCCACGATGATTTGTATTAAAACCTAACCCAAAACTAGAAGTGCTAGTAGTTCCCATACCAAGACCTAAAGCTGGCCTATCCTCACTCGCATAATTTTCTTCTTCCATCTGTTCTTTAGAACGGTTATCATCTTGATTAGGCATAAAAGTTCCAGTAGAGACAAAATTCACAGGCTTGCTGAGGTCAGGCTGCTTAGATAAGTCACGGTCTTTCCTGCGTTTTCTGTTATAATCATCTTCATCATCATCAGAGTCTGCAAACACCCCATAAAGAACATCTTCTCTTGTTTGAGTGCGTTTTTCTTTGCGCTTTCGATAGTAGAACTCACCACCAATCCATTCACCACCTTCAAAATCATTATCCATGCCAAATCTCTCCATCTCTTGGTACTCATCCATTGTTAGAGGCAGAAAATCTACAAGTTAAAAGAATAACCAAAAAAATAAAAATTAGTAGATTAAAAGGTATTCAGACTTGACAAGATTAAATAAAGCTCATTCATTTGAAGTTTTTCATATGACAAACAAAACATTTAATTGAGTTTAATTGAAATTTCTTACATACACCTTTCCCAACAAAATATGTAACCATAATTAGAAGACTCAAGCTCAAGAGCTAACACTTAAATGAAAACATAAAGTGAAAAGAAGTTGGGGAGGGGGGTGTGAGTTCATTCATGAATATCAAACTGTCAAGTAACAAGAAGCCAAAATCTCAATATGATGAGAATAATATATAACATAAGCAAAACATAAAAAATTAAAAAGGAAATTCGGAAAATGTTTCAGAACACATCAGGCATGATAGAATAAAATCACTCGAGTTAACTGTCAAAGTTTAACAAGAACAACACCAAGAAATTAAGATAAACATGGGACTATTAATTTTCCCTTTGCTAACAACAGCTAGCTAAATATGAGATTCACTACACATCATAGCAATTCAAACCTCTCCTACTTTGGAAAACCATTAAGAAAAAACAGAAAGAAAGAAAAAGCTGGGTGCAAATATGAGGGAGGACTCAGGAGTGAGAATCAGGAGGCTTTTTCAAATTTGGTAATTATGTGAGTGAGTGCATCTGTTCCTTTTAATTTAGATCAGAATTTTACATGACCAGAAGACTAGAGGAAAGCTAGAGAAGGAATAAAATGGAGGAATAAGATGGAGATGTCAGTAGGGAGAGTAAGTGGCAGCAACCACAGGGAGGAAGAATATCGTTCAGGCCACCAATAAGGGCAACCTGTAACACTGCTTCCCTCAAAGAAGGCCAAGTTGGTCCTTTTTCAACTGCAGAATTGCAAGCTTAACGGCAGCCTGACCCCAAAAAATGTTGACTTCAAATTTACGAAAAGCACTATAAAATGGAAACAACAACAAATTAAACTCAAATCACCAATGCACCATTATTTACCCGCATTAATTAACACTACTTTTCCAACATAATAATTAATCTACATTGGCATTAGGGAATCATTATATCAGAATTGTGACTTGTTATACAGTACGAACCAGAAAGCACGCAATTTGAATAGGTTATGCAATTTGAACAAGCACAAACCAGACCAGCAGCATTATTATATCAGCAATTAATATCTCACCTCAGTTCAGACAGAACAAGCAGAGGAAATGAGATGGGTGAAAAGATGAGTGAAAGGGAGCACAAACCTAGAGAGCAAGCAAACTTCACTTTCAGATTTCACACTTCAGTTTCAGAGAAGCCTGAGAGGATCACCATATGAGTGAGAGGTAGCAGAGCAAGACCAAAAAGAGTTAATTTTGAAAGAAAATCGGAAAAAAAAAAACAAGAAGAAAAATTATAGCAGAAGGAAACGCACCAGGAAATGGCCGAGAGAGGGAGGAGACGCAACGGCGGCAACCCAGAACGTCGACTTCCAATCTGAATCAGAGATGAAGAAGGAACTACAAGCACGAAGATGATGAAGAGAAGGAAGCCGCGTGTGTTACTGAATCGTGGTACCGTGAACCCGTGATGGGTCTGACTCTAATCAGATTTCCGCGACCGACTCGTAATTTTGTAAAGACTTCAAATAGGGCACCGGAATTGCTGGTTAAAAAAAAAATAATAACAAAATAAAAATAAAGGGTTGATGAGAAATTGAGAAGTAGCAATTAGGGAAAGCAAGCTCTGAAACTGAAAGCCAGTCAGTTCAAGTTTTTTTTTTTCAGTATTTATAAATTTATCATTTTTTAAAAAAAATCAGACATGAGATTATAAACTGGCAAACTTTATTATATAATAAATTAATGATAATAATATAAAAAGATAAAAAAATATTCACAAGAAATTTTTATAAAGGATAAAGTTTTGAATTATTGATATATATTTATCTGAGTGACTCCAACATAAAAATTAGGATGAATACTTATATTTTTAGTAAAAATAAATCAATATATTAACGTGTTTTGATTGAATTTTCATGTTTTGATGGTAATAAAATAAAACTACAAAAAAAAAAAAAAATTGTTTTGCAAGGCTCAATGACTACTTAACGACAAAACAACAAATTGAAGAGATATATGAGGATAATTGAAGACTTGGGACATTTAAACTTTGATTTCTTAGTATCTCTTGTAAAAGTGTTATGAGAGAGCTTAAAAGAGTTTTGTAAATGTGTGAAGATAATGAAAGATATGTTTTTGAAAAGAAGTCAACACATCAATAATCTTGTTTTATAAAAACTACAAGATACTTCAAAGTGATCATTTTCTTAAAAAAAAAAAAAACTTCATTTTAACACATCAATATTGTCCTTTGACACTTGAAACTTTGATTTGAACGTGTTAATATCCATATTAACACGTGTTAAACATAAGTTTTGTTAAGTTGATTTTGTAGAAATTTTAATGCATTAATTCTTGTTGTGACGCATTACTCTTATATTGAACTTAGATTAAAAATTGGTATCTCTCAACCAAATGTTTAAACTGGGGGTTTCTATTTTTCACAGTTTTTAACGTGTTAACTCTCATTCCAACGCCTTGTTCTTCATTTTAGGAAATCATCATTGTCATCGTCAAAATATTAACCTGTTAATGCTTAATGCATCATTTTTTTTGTGCCAAAAATACTTAATGCATCATTGAGTTTTAATTTTAAAACTTTTCTTTTTGAAATCTTCTACTCTAACAAGTTAATCTCAAGTTTTAACTTGAACTTTTGAGATGCTAGGGTTCCATTCTCCTTTAAAAAAAAAACTGTTTCATAAAACAGTTTTTAAAATTGTTTTTCAAAATAAATTAAAATAAAAATCTGTTTGATTTTTTCAATTAAAAAATAATTTTAAAATTAAAAAATGAATTGATAGTTATAGTTATAAACAGTCAATGATAGTTATTAATAATAAAAATTGATCAAGATAACTATAATTTTCAATAATCAAATGTAGTGTATTGTAAAAATAAAACAAAATAACTTGAAATTGTTTCTACATTTTATTTTTAAAAATAATTAATTAAAAATTTTTTATTTAAATAAATTTTTAAAATTTTCTTTTTTAAAGAATAAAAAAATAATTTTAAAAAATAAAAAACAAACAGGCTTTTAGAATTGTGTTTTAAAGAAATCAATGGGTCGGGGTCAATCTCCTTTATAATGCGTTAAAATAATTCTGACACGCATTTAATATAATTATTGAGCCTTTTGCTTTCACTCGTAACGTTTTCATTGTGTGTTTAAACTTTGCAATGATTATAATCTTATTTCTAATAGTAAAAACTTCTCTTAAACTATAAATACTATCTCATTGATACTGGTTCGTAAAATCACAAGCTAAAATTTTTTTTTGATCATATTGCTTTGAATTCTATTATCAACAAAAAAAAAGGTGCCTTTATTTTTTTTTGGTAATAAACGAGGCAAACTCCAAAAAAAAAAGGTGCCTTTAGTTATTACATTAGCTACAAAGACACCATTTTGATGACTTTAATTCTATATTTGGCTGGGGAAAAAAAGTGGGGGAAGAGAAAGTTTGAGAGAAATAGAGAAGAAAACTATATGTTTTCCTATTTAGTTAAGGAAAGAAAAATAAGAGGAAGAGGAATTGGGAGGGAAAATAATATGTGGAATCCACATGTTTTTTCCTTCCCAAATTTTCTCTCAAAAAATGATGAGATTTTGAAGAAAAAACTTTAATTCCAGAGTTACTCATGAATATTTTTTCCAGCCAAGAATTTTTACATTTGTTTTTAATTTAATTTTTTTAATTATTTTATATTTAATAATTTTGGAATTTGAATATTCGTTTCCACTCTACCTTCCTCAATTTTCTTATATTTGTTTTTAATTTAAAATTTTTAAATTATTGTATATTTAATAATTTCGAAAATAAAGTTTAAATTTTGATAAACTAGTTTGTAATTATATTTTTACTCCATTATTAATAAATAATAGAAATTAAATAAATAATATATTAAAGTATTACGTTTTATTATGTAAAAAAAATTCATACACATAATAAGGTTATTATTATCTATATAAAATTAATAATTTTTCCTTCCTCTGTGTTTTTTCTTTTTCAACCAAGCATAATAAAAAAAAAAGTTGTATTCATTTACTTTTATCTTCCTTCTACGGCTCTACTTGTTCTTCCCTTATTATCCCTTGCTAGCTAGGTGTTGCATTAGTAAAATTAAGACATGACCTTTGATTTTATAACATTCCAAAGGTTCTTTTAGATAATAATCTTAATGATTTTTAGTATTACAATTCCTTATATAATCTTTCATACAAATATCTTAATTTACAAAGACATAAATTTTCAACATGTCACTTCATTTTAAAAATATTTTTTACTTATGAACATTTTCATTGGAAGTACTAATTATCCTAAACTATTATTGAATATTGTCCCCCAGTAAATGTCAAAATTGTTACAAATGAATATGAACATTGACTATTAACTTCAAATTAACTTTAAGTTATAGAATATTTTTACCTTTAAAGTATTTGTGATGGAGTATTTAGAGCTTTAAAGTAAGGTTGGTAATTTAAATTAAGCTCAATAGACTACTATAAATAAGCTTGAAATTTTTTAGAGATGAACTTAAGAGTTTATAAATTTTTCTTTATTTTAGGCTTTATTTGAGCTACCCAAATAAGTTTGAACCTGATTAGATTTGGGCCAAATATTTGAATTCTTTATTATCAACAAAATAAAATTAACCTCTAATTTAGCCTTTATTTTGCATTCATAGACCCTGCTTCAAACTCTTAGTTTGCATATTTTACACTTCTAATTGAAGTTTAATATTCCAATAATTATTTGCTTTGAATACTTTTTTAAATGTTAAAAAAACTAAATATAAGATATCATCCAAACAATAGTCACATGCTCAAATATAGTTTAAATACTCTAGAGTTAGCAAATTACACAAACTAATCTAAAAAGGGGTTGGCTTGCCCATTGGTGTCTGCTCACCTAGCCGAACTATTCTCTATAGAAACATTAATCATGAGGAATGAGCTTAAAAGTCTTTGTAACCAAAATTAATATACAGCTATATGTGCAATACAACTTATAATGTGATTGTTAAGTGTGGCATACAAAATGATTTCCAAACAATATATATCTAGACAAAAATCAAATAATTTATATTTTTAACATAACAACACCTTATATCCCTTCTAACTCCATGCTTAGAACCAAATCACTCAACCAAAGATAAGTTGATCAAAGTTAATAGCCACTCATTGAGTCCAATGAAGACTTATCACGTGATAAAATAACAATTCTAAAAACATAGCCAGACACATGTATTTTCCAAACAATTCCTACATATCATACTTTCAAACAACCAGACAGAAATACACTTAATAATACAATATGCTTCTGAACAAGAATTATTTCCAAACGAAATACATATATTTATATATAGCAATAAACATCTCACTTGGCAATTATTTTTCAAATAACAAAAACATTCTCTTCTCAGCATATTCATTTCTAAACAAAAATGCACACATAACAAATCACAAAGTACACACACTCAAACATTAATAGTGGTTACCTTACTTCCTTACAATTAATGCTCCCTCGTACAAGAACATCTTCACCTTCTTTAGTGTTTCTATTACAATCTACACACCATACAATATTAATTAACTATTGTTAATAAAATATTAATTAACACTAATCAAAGTGTTAGCACACTGATCATACCATAATTCTAGGGTTATTGTTACAACCATTAAAACCACCTAACCAACTCAAAATCATTGTTGTTATCCTTATTAATCACTTATTCAACCTTACATAACCCTAATTATCCTTAAAATTCACCCATCAACTCTAAGGTTTTTGGACCTTACATTTTTGGCATCATGAATCACCTCAAAACAACTCTGGCTACTCTTATTTATCCTTAAAACACCTATTTCATTTGGATTCAAGGGTTGGGTCTCCCCAAAAATGAAACTCTAACCACATGTGGTAGAAAACTCACTTAAAATGGAGAAGAAGAGGGTGGATACAAGAATAAATAAGCTTATCTTAATTATTAGATGGCCAAAATCATGCACATTAAATGTTCCTCATCAAACCCTAGCAGAGCCCTCAATTTTTACTCAAAACCCTAGCTATCAAACATCTCTTTTGTCTAATTTTTTCAACAGCAAAATAATTGTTGTTTCTATGTTGTGCACTGCAATACATGATACAAAAATGCTACACTTTGTTTTTTTTTGTAACAATGCTACACTTTGTTAAGTGCACCACGTTGGGCCAAATTCAGCCTAAAACTCATCTTAGACCCTATTCAACTCTACTATATCACACTAGGTCCAATTTAAGTCATATTACGCACCTCAAACATAGGATTTGCCTCAAACAATCTCGATTACAAATTTATTTCCTAATGAAACATTAAAATAACATCAATCCTCAATTAAATTTCTCAAGAAACCTCAATTTTATAGTTCATTAAATATCCAAAAAATTATGATGTGGCAACTCTCAACCAATTTAATAAATTGGTTGGCTTAT